GGCTTTAATTCCAAAACTCATTTTTCCAATTAATTCATCTTACATTCTACTCTAAACATAGAGAAAGTAAAAGTCTCATAAGTAGCCACATTTATCAACTTTGGATTGTTAATACAAACTTGCCACTAAGTGTTAAAGCCCACTTCCTTCAATGCCCATGTACCCTTAGTACATTCAATTTTTGTAGGACCTAGAAATCCTCCAATAATAAAAAACTTATTAAAAATAATATAAAATATAACTTTGTGCCATTAGTTCACAATCAAGATTGAAGTTTACATTGAACCCAAAAGAGCCAAACTCTTCTTGTTGAGGAGAAAGTATGAAATGCCTTTTTAGTTATAATTGTTGGAAGTGTAACACTCCGCCTTTCGCCCACACCATTTAATAGTCTATTATTAAATTTTAAAATGTTTGCTAAAACCTAAAACTATTTCTCTGTAATATGGTTGATTACTAAAGTATTCTTTTAATTTTACATGCCACTAGCTTCATTGCCGCACAGTGGGGGCTAAGCAAAGCACCTCCCTTTGGCTACTTGGAGATTCTGTCATTGAAAAATAAGATTTGAGAAGATTTATTATCATCTACCACTTAAAATTTGACAACATGACAATCAAGCACAAAGATTTAACACCATACTATCCTTAAGAAAATGGTCAAGTCAAATCTATAAACAAGACCTTTAACACTACACATGCAACACATAGCTCTTCCTCCTTATCAAGAAATTAAGCAAAACATTCTTTATAAATGAAAAGTTTTTAAGATCAAAATCATCTAAATCACCTTACCCTTCCATAAGGTTATTTACCAAACTTACATCACCACTAGATGAATATAGTTTTACTAACATTTGAATGTGCTAGATTGTTATACTAAAGGTAGTGAATTCCTTAAAATATTTTATTACATGAATATGAGGAATAAGGGATATTTTAAGAAAGGGGTATATTCACCTTTTTATGAATATTAAGAAGGATGAAATTTTTTAAGTTTAAGTATATATCCACTATTGGGAGTTGATGATTTCACTAGAAAATATTGTTTTACCCAAGATCAAGCAATTCACAACATTTTTCTCTTGCAATCTTTTATTTAAAGTGAGAGAAATTTATAGCTTCACGTAATTTTAAGAAAAAATATTTATTTCTATGGCTAAATAGATCTTGACAAGAGATTTTTAATGAGTTAGAAAATACAATTTTAGACTTTGATAACCATCCCTAAAATATAGTTGATTGCGTAATCCCTTGAAAAACTCTTGAGTATGAAGTTCCTCACTACCCTTAAAGCTCTACTTTGCTACTCCTACTGCTTAAATATCCTTAATGGATAGTATTTATAATATATAAAGTCATTAATAATTAATTAACTTAATTATATCTTTATTTACTAATACAATTAACATAGTTTGGTAATGGTTAAGCATTCTATATGATTCTATTTAAATTTTTCATTCTGCTTAACCACTTAACTACACTTTTGCACTTGAAGGAGTCTCAATCACAACCTTTATGCAACTTACAACCCAAAAATGGCCTCAAGGCCACACTAACTTTGCACTTTGGTCCAAGTACTCTATATATCTAATTCCTATTTTTGCTATCCAAAAGTGCCACCTAGATATTAACCTTTTATACTAATATAATGTCTATTCTCATCATTTTACTAATAGTTCAAGACTATTTGTATCATTGTTGAGACCTTTCAACGGTGGAGAGAACACTTTCTCATGCGTTGAAAATAAAGCTCAACCATATTTTAAATGAACTTCCTCTAAATGGGGAGAAAGGGGTATATACCCCCTCTCCCAAAATATTTTTAATGCCCTCGGACAATTTTAATGGTGGAATATTTTAGAGAATCTTGTTTAAAGGATATGCATATCCTAATAGGTGACCACAGGGAATCATATCAGACTTTATCACATGCAAAAACTCACAACTAAATTGCTGTTGAAAGCTCTAATGTAATATCTTCTATCAACTATATAAGAAAGAAAACCAAAGATAAAACAAAGAAAATAAAAGTGGGAAAAGAAGTTCTAGTGTTCTAAGATCAAGAAACCACATAGGGAAAACTTGATTATAGAACTAAGAACTCAACCTAAGAAAAATTGTGGAAAGAAGAAAAAATAATGAATAATTAAGAAAAACAAAGAAAAAGGAGTAAGAATCCAAGAGGAAACAAAGCAGTAACCTAGACTCTAGCCTCTAAAGTCTCCAAACCTCTCAAAAGTTCCTCAAACACAATTTAAGTTTGCTCCCAAAGTTCCAAAGAAAGTGGAAGAGAAATGAATGTGTTGCCTAGTTTGGGATATATGGTGGAACAGAAAGATTGCAATCATAGTGACAAATGATGGGTGGAATGGTTAGCAAACTTGAATAGACTGGTAATGGAAGGAATCTTGCAATATGTGGATGATCATTAGTAGCTTATATAGCAATCATTGCAAAAGAAAATGTTTGCAACTAGTGGCAATTTTAGATCATTGTATCTTATTGTATCTATATGAGTTTAGGAAATACTGTTTGCCTATGTTTAGCTTTGTACTACAGTTAAGGACTTTTGGCTAGTCAAAAATAACTTTTAGTGTCTAGTATTTGCAAGAGTGTGTTTTATCGATTAAGTTCATTCCATATCTTGAGTTACATGGGTCAGGGGGGTTGCTTCTTATTGCATCTACTACATATGAGTATAGTAGATAATGTTATGTAAAGATGTCCCAAAATGGAGGTGTTTATGGTAAGATAAGTGGAGAAAAATGATTTAGACAAATATAGCAAGTGATGGATAAAGCTGTAGCAAATGGAAAATGGACTAGATAGTGGCTATGAGTAGATTAGAGTGATGGTGATGAGGTGTGGATTAATTTGATGTAGAGAAGAGTCTAAAAACTATAGGAGGGAAAGAATGACCTTCCAGATGATTGAAATTGATGCCACCTCAAGATTGAAATCCAAGCTTGAGTTTGCCACTGCAAGGATATAAGTCTTGAAAGGCAAGTTGAAAGTAAAGAAATAAAGAAAAGAGAAAAAAACTCAATATTAGAAAAGTTGGTAGTGATGCTAAGAGCTGTTTAATATCATTGTGCTATAATATACTCAAGGTGGGAAAAAAGTGTTTTGAAGGAGGCCCAAAGATGCTAGTGAAGCTGACTATGTCAACCTTTAAAGTTAGATGTCATCTTAATGCATTAAGGTGGATTGCTATATCCTCGAGTGAACTCTGTTCGTGTCATGAGCTTGAGAGCTTTTATATGTCGGGATAGAGTGCCTCCAAAGTTGAAAACCACCTAAGTCATCATGAATTTAGTGGATAAGTTCCATAGTGTTATCTGCGAAAGAGGCCACAATTGTGTCGAGTGATGCTTCAGCTGGGATCTTGTGGTTTCAGTGGGTTAGTATCACCTTTAAGTGCTAGAAGGGAAAATTGAGTTACTATAGGAATGAATTTGCCACTATTGCCACCTTGTATGTAGTGATATACATATATCCACATTTGATACATGTGTCTCATTTGACTACTTCATATGACTGTTAAGGACCTTGGGAGAGGCCTCCAAAAAGCCTAGAAAAGGTGTCAAAGCTTAAAACAAGCTTTGAATCATTGCTGAGGTGTTTCTTTTGCAGCATTTGCCAAAATTAAAACAATTTATATGTAGAGTTGTTAATCAATTTTCTCCATTCTAAATTGTTTGATGAACTTGTCAATCATTGTAGACAAGATTCATTTGGAAACAAGAAAGATGCCTAATCTACTACTCTTGTTTTCAAGGATCTCAAGAATAATTCTTGGGACAAAGCATCTTCAATGATCTTGTTGTATCTTAAGTAAGTTTAAAATTGATTAATGTGATTGCAAGCCAAAATACTTAATCCAAGATAGAACTTTAGGAGATCCATTACTCTATAAAGAATATGAATAATTACCACCATTAGTGTAATGTTTTAGTTGTGCTCCTCTTTGGAATCTATTATAAATTATCTTACCAACAACATTGTCTAGTAGTTAAGGTAGCATATAAGCCTTGAGAATTCCTCTAAGTTATGTGTGTCCAAAGAGGAGTTCATATAGCAACAACACTTGAAAAATGCATATGAATAGACATTAAACTTCTAAAATGTGCCAAATGTGAAAACTAAGTATATACTATGATGTTAGTCTAGAGGTTGGAGAGCTCAATCACAAGGTTTTATTCTTGTTAGACACTCAAGGATTTTAAAATCACTCTTTATAACACTTTATAGCCTCTTATACACTCACTATATATTAGATATTGTTCTCCATTCAAGTAAAAGTTTTTTAATCAAAAAGAGATGATTAAACATGAGACTTCAAATAGCTATATATACTCTAGGGCACTAAAATAAACCATAAGAATGATACAAGAGATAAATATATAAAGAAAATCTTTCAAACTTTTAAAAATTCCTTATAAGCATAAACCAACAAAAAGCTTTTAAAAAAGACCCTTAAATTTTTGTACACTACTCTAAAAATCATGAAACCAAACTCTAAAAACATGTACAAAAATCTTGTAAAAAACTAAACCTAAAAATCTCACTCAAATACACTCAAAACACTCACTGAAACTAACAAACACATATTCGAATAAAAAAATATAAAGATCTTGTAGCTGCCAATTCCTAAAATCTTGTTTTAGCACTCATTGAAGAACTTTATCTAAGATTTATCTAGCCATGTAATAAAAATCTAAATGCATTACTTACAATTGCATGAGAATGCCCTAAACTTTTCTTACACTCTAAATAAAAGAACCCAACCCAAAAGCTTTATAAATTGCTTGATCTTGGACTAAAAGTCACATGCAAGGACTTTAAAAAAAGTCTAAAAAAAATCTATCTGACAAGTTAAAGAAAGATTAAAATGGTTAAAATTAGAGTTAGCTTTTAAATACTTCACCAATTTACTCTACTTATCTATCAATCCATCAATATTTAGACTCTCTAATACTTATATTATCACCCATTATATAGGTATAATCTACACTGTTTATTATTCCATATAAATTTACCAAAACCCCCAGTCAAGTGAGATAGTTTTGACGGGATCTTGTGCTCCATCGGGATAGAGAAGATTATTTTTGAGATTTCCACCGAAAATAAAACAAGAGAAGACGAGAAGTTCTTACCATGGAGTTCCAGGGGACGTAGAAGCCGGAGACAGCCGCTGCAAAGTAAAACATAGCATGCCTGCCAACTGGTTTCATGGCAGCTCCAACAATCTCTAAATCTGCCATTCAAAACCATCATAGAAACCAGCGTTTGCACGGCACGTTTCTTACTTGGAGGTACTCGAAGAGCATAATGAACTCGAGCTTCAAGAGCTTCTTCAGGAGCACCGCCTGTTTTGATTCTTAAGAACTCAAGAAGAGAAACAAGAACTCAGAATGATGTCCTGTGACTGCCCGGCTCACAGCATCAAACCATTTTTCTCGTGCTGCGAAGCGGGAGTTAAACTCTCGAAGAAATAAAAGGCAGATTTCACTTACCCCGGATTGATCCATCCACAGGCTCGAGACATTCTTGCATGCAGCCAAAAGTACCTTGCAAAAAAAAAAAAAAAAAGAAAAATCATAAAAGAAGAATGAGTAGAAAAGAATAACGCACTCTGTGGAGGCTGCTCATCGACTCCCGATCGACTCCCCGAGCTGAAATTGTCAATGACCCTAACGCATCGTCGCTCCAAGGGCACGGTCGTGCCCCCGGATGTAACAATGGCAATGCGCGTCGTCTAGAATCACGTGATTCAGCTCCAAAATACGAGAAATGCTAGTAGTAAGGATAAAACCTGGCCGATGGCCGATGCCGCCTTCCAGATCCACATCGTCGCGGCATCGGAGAGGCGGGGCCGAATCGAAGAACGATTGAGCTTCTTGCTCCATTGCTATGAACCCTAAATTCGATAACCCATTTTATAAAGGTAAAGTTTCGGAAAAGTAGTAAGAGTCAAGAGGAGCGTGAGTTTGCGAGCAGCACAAGAGCAGCTCCATCGCTGGGGCCCGAAAGCAAAGCTCGTTTCGTCACTCGAGCACCGTTTTTCCAGATTCTATCACCTCTGGAAGAACTTAGCATGGACGTCCAGTCCCACGAGTTGGGAAGAAAAGGCATGGTTTGCACAAGCTCTTCCGTCGCATCCAGGTATCCCGCTCGCCCCAGCATGTCCACGATGCAGCAGTAGTGTTGCTTCCACGTTTGGAACACCTTCTTTGCAAGAGAAAGATGCCCGTTTTGGGCATATGCCGAGAGCATGGCGTTCCAGGACACCAAGTTCTTGTCTGGCATTTCTTGAAAGAATATTCTAGCCCCGGTAAGATTCCCTTGCAAGGAGTGTGATGTTAGCAGCGTCTTCCAGGTTGCAAGATTCCATGCCGGCATTTTGTCTAGGATTTTCGTGGTTTCGTCCATGGCTATGGCGTTCTAACACACGGCATCTACGTATGGAAGAGAATCAAAGAGGCAGCTGGCTTCCTCAAGGCGTTGGCTTTGAGTGTAGGCGACGAGCAGCGTTGTGACGGAGACAAGATCGTGCTGTGGCATCTGATCGTGAAAGAAGCGGTCCGACTCTTTCAAGAAGCCGGAAACGATTGCCGTGCAAGTCGAGAAATTCCTCACACGCATGGCGTGGAAGAGCTCCAGAGAAGACTCCAGATGCCCGTGACGGGAGAATGCTGCAATTGCGCAAGTGCACGAGACGACATCGTGCTCCGGCATCTCTTTAAAAGTGCTTTCTACATCCACGAGCTGAGATAAAGCCCCCAGCATCATCGTCCACGAGACCAAGTTGTGAGCAGGCATTTTGCTAAAGACTATCTTGGCAGATTTACCCATTTTCGGCAAATGCAAAAAGCACCGCGTTTATAGTAACAGATTGTATTCCTTGCATTTTGCCTCTCTTGGAGTCAACAGAAATCATAGTAGTAAATGACACGAGGCTCCAGCACGGCATGCAGCTGAAGAGCCTTCGCACTTCATCAAAATGCCCGTTTTTGCAGAACAGCAAAAGATCCCAGCTGAACTTGTCCCTCTTGGCCATACCATGGAAGATTTGAGCTGCGTGTTTGATGTTACCACATCTACCGTGCATTTCAATTTGCTTGTTCAGGACGAAAACACTGCTTAGATATGAATTTCTAAAACACTCCATGAGAGAAATTATTATTTACTATTTGATGGAACTGAGCACCAATCTAGAGTTGGAAGGTCCCTGATTTTTCTGGAGGAGGGATCCACCCAATTCCATGGTATCTAGCGGTCGTCCATCCCCATTCTACGTTTCCGGCCATCCACACCTCTATGCCGTTCACATAGTCCATGACTCCTTGCTTCATGGCAAGCCCACTTGAAATGATCTCATGCTTTGTCTGGGCGAAATCCTTCTCCAAATCCTCCACCATGCTCGCAACCTTGCCGATTGCCTCGTTCAAGCCACACTTACGATTGCTGGCGAGAATGGGCACGGCGTTGAGGTAGTTTCCACTCGCCCACTCCTTCCTTAGCGACATCAAGTCATTGTGGAGCGCAATGTGGTGCGTCCCAATCTCCTCAACCTTGCGTATGAGAGGATGATCCAGCACGCCACGCTCCTCCAGCCTAAGTTGCAGTAAACCATCAATCAGAGCAAAGCAAGGAGCCACACCAGATGTGATCTCTCTCAGCCAGAGGTACGTATCCAGGTTGGGAATGATTTGCTTGCGAAGCCAGCTCGATTCAATCTCAAACATGTCGAGCACCCTGGTCATAGCATCCACGAATCGGCCTGATTCATCCACTACATGGAGGGACAATTCTTCCAAGACCTCAGATAACATCTTCATTTGCCTCAGCAGCTCCGGATTTTTCACTGGAAGCGTGGCCTCGTCATATCTTCCCTTTAAAACCATCTTGTATGCGATTGCCACATTCCTCATGTCCGACGAGGAGATCTCCGGGCTATCCAGAATGTCATCTGCAAGAAAGAACGAAGCGAAGAACTTTCCAACCGGAACAATCTTCTCGTATGGAATGGTCGGGTAAACATAAGCCGCGAGCAATCCAAGCCTGCTTTCTTGAACAAACACAGCTTTCTCGCTTCCAGGTTGCAACTTCAGAAACTCCGCGCACCACGCATCGATCTGAGACTCGGCCTTTGCATCGTACAGAGGATTCAGCACTGGAGAGACAAGGAGTTGACACACTGGTGGAATGGAATAGCTTTTCTCTGCTGCGAAAATGCTCGCAATGGATGAAACAGCCATGAAAGAAGAGTCCTAAGTGAACTCTGAAAGAGGGCCTTATATATAAAATTAGAAGCAAATTGAAACTAAACTCTATTTCTGTGAAAGCCTTAGGAAACATCCCAGGAGAACATCTATAGTATTCACACAATATTCAGGATATGTGATTACAAATCTCTTTTTACTGGCCTTTGTTACCAAGTAATTCGTCCGCGAGCACGTTTGCCTCTTCATGCCTCCCTTCTCTCGCTACCGCCTTGTAAGCCTCGACATTTGGCCTGCCTTTCCTTGAGAGTGTCATCTCTTCCAAAACTTCCATGGCTTTGCCGAGCTGGGTTTAGTAAATTTCTAGGGATTACTCTAGAAAAACTAATATGACTAAGGAATATTATACTTATATAATGGGTGATAATTAAAATATTAAAGAGTCTAAAGCTAGAGTAAACATTGATGGATAAGTAGAGTAATTTGGTGAAATATTTAAAAGTTAGCTATAATTCCTTTGAGAGATTAAATTCAATACTCTTATGGGTTGCACTATCTGCTTAAATACTTTATATGGTTTATCAAAACCTCAATCTAGCCATGTAATTGGAGGTGGGGAGAATACCCATAATATTCACACTTAGTTTTAGTGTTTTGAAATGTCATCTAAAAGTCATTCACTATGGAAAGGAAGAAGAATGTATAAGGAATTAACTCCCTATAAATTAAAGGATCTTTAAAATCATGATTGGAATGATAAATAGTTCATCGGATGAAATTAAGTCCGAGATCGAAATCAAGTTCGAGACCAAATTTGAAATTGAGTTCAAGACCGAGTCCAAGATTCAAGATTTAATCTCATTTTTTTTTTAATTTTAGGGCAAATTCTCAAAAGATTTGCATTGTGGTGATGGAGTAAGAATAAGTGTGCCCAACTGTAAGATTCTAGGTACCATGTTTAAATTCTAAGGATTTCTTGAATTTTCTTCTTTTTTAAACTAAGAATAGTTATTTTCTCCTCTTTGCCCCTTAGTTGCTGATTAAATTAAGCAATGGAGCTAATGGGTTTTTAAATCTTGTTGAGCACTTTATTTTAATATCACAAATTTCTCAATTCCATTCTTAGAGCATAACATGCAAATAATTTTTATTCATGATATGTGTAATACTCATTTCAAGAGTTTGATATACAATAGATCTTCAACTGTGAGTTTTATCAAGTAATTTATAAAGCTTTTTACTTGGGTTCTTTTATTTAGAGTGTAAAAAAAGTTTAGGGCATTCTCACACAATTTTGAGTAATATAGATGGATCTTTCTTACATGGCTAAATAAATCTTGGATAAAGCTTTTTGGCGAGCCCTAGAATAAGATTTTAGAACTGTAAGATCTTTATATTTTCTCATCCGGTTATGTGTTTGCTAATTTTAGTGAGTGTTTTAAGTATATTTAAGTGAAATTTTTAGGTTTATCTTTCATACAAAACTGTTATACATGTTTTTAAAGTTTGGTTTCATGATTTTTAGAGTAGTATGCAAAAAGTTTAAGTGTCTTTTCTTTTTAGCTTTAGGCTTCATCCCTTAAAACATTTGGTGTGTTTAAAGTTTAAAAACTTTTCCTTATATACTTATCCCTTGCATTATGTTATGGTTTATTTTAGTGCCTTAGAGTATATATAGCTATTTCATGCCTTATTTTAATCATCTCTTTTGATTGAGAAGCTTTTACTTGAATGGAAAACAACATTTAGTATATAGTGAGTGTATAAGAGGTTATAAGTGTTATAAAGAATGATTTTAAAATCCTTGAGTGTCTAGCAAACATAAAAATTTGTAATTGAGCTCTCCAAACTCTAGACCAGCATCAAAGCAAGTACCTAATTTTGGCATTTGGCACATTTTAGAAGTTTGATGCTTATTCATACCTGTTGGTCAAGTGTTATTGTTATATAAACTCCTCTTTACACACATATAACTTAGAGGAATTTTTAAGGCTTATATGTCAGCTTAATTACTAAATGGTGTTCTCAGTAAGTAAGTCTTCATCGTCTAGAATAGATTTCAAAGAAGAGAACAATCAAAACATTACACCAATAGTGGCAACTATTTATATTCTTTATAGGGCAATGGACCTCTTAAAGTTCTATCTTAGATCAAGTATTTTGGCTCATAATAACATTGATCAATTTCAAACTTACTTACGATACAACAAGATCACTAAAGATGCTTTGTCCCAAAAATTATTCCTGAGATCCTTGAAAACAAGAGTAGCAGATTGGGCATCTTTCTTGCTTCCAAATGAATGATAGTCATTTTCTACAATGATTGATAAGTTCTTCAAATGATTTGGAATTGAGAAAATTGACTAATAACTTGTAGCGCACCTGAATTTGGAGCTGAACTCCAAGCCTGTTGCACTACGAAATGAGGGTCCAGTACAATCTCACGAGCACCAGCTCCCCGTATCCAGCACCTACATGCAAAATGGTGTCAGACGGAGTCTGACACAATTTTGGCATACCGGTGGCCTAACGCGAGGAGGAGGATACCCCACCGACTAGAGCAGTGTGGAGCTT